GAGTCATCAGATAGATGACTTCAATGTCGTTAGTTTTGTTTGTTTGTTTTTTTTCCCCCTATATTTGAAGGAAATTTTCATTTATAGATACCTACTGTATATGCAAGTCATGGTCATTCCATTGTTTTTTCCTATATAAATTTTACATGGGAATCTGCATTTATCCTGTTAAAGTTCAGATTTCTTATTCATTGGATTAGATTATATAGAGCATGAGTTAACTTTAAGTATCTCACATTAGTTATTTTATGCTAGCTGCATTTTTGCCAGATGTGAGTGATGTTTTCTGCAAGCTGTATGGTAGAATTTCATTACTCTGAGAATCAAAAATGTATCACTGGCTTTTAAAATCTCTTTAGAGAATCTGATTAATCTAACAAGGAAGCAAATGAAATACCCTTTCTTTCTTTCTTTGTTTCTTTCTCTCTCTTCCTCTGCTTTATCTGCTCACTTGCTCTTGGATTATATTATGGTAATTTATCTAGATATCGCAGACCTGAAGGGGAATATGGAGGAAGTGCTTCTTTGTGTAGTTAATAGCTACACTATGGCATGAATAATTGTTTTGGGTTATAGAAATAGTGATGAAACTGATACAGCATGTAGTAAATGAACTCAGTTGACCTGATTCTATTCTCACTGATAAATGATGCAAATCGAGAATAGCTTTGAGCACACATATAAAACTAGTGAAGGTTTGCTGAAAATCAGGAGCAGATGCTATCTAAATAATAAACCATAAAATGAAGTGTTTTTTTTTTTTTTTCCACACTTGCAAAGGAATCTAGCCATTTGTTACAAGTCTGTGGAAGCTGTAATTCTTTAATATTAATTGTTTTGGAGGTCCAACAACCATTAACAATGAAACAGCCATTTCACAAGAAATATGGAGTATGCAGTTTCTAAAAGAATACTGCTGAAAATTAATTTTCTACATCATAAGTTTTACTTTCCCAATAGTTTGATCAAAAGTATCTGGATGCCTTCACTTGATTATCTAAGACAGACCTGAATCAGTCTATTCACAAATATACTTCTATGTCCTAATTTTCATTGTCAGGAAAGTAAAAAGATAAAAGGAACAAAAAAGCAGTACAATAACGTTAGTGCACTTTCAGCAAATTTTAGGTGGAGTTGCTATTCAGAAGTAACAAATTTATATGTTACAGGGAAGAAAAATTAAAGATTTTGCTCAGGAGATGCATAGTAGATTTTCTGTTTAACCTGAACATTCACTGGGTAGTTACATCTGTCACTGTCAGTACCCAGAGAAGATTCCTGGTCAATGTAAAATCAGTGTATAGCCAGTATGCAGTCTGTTATCTTGAGCAGATGACAAAATACTGGGAGATGACTTAATGTTATTAAGAATACATCTAAGGATGTATTTTTCTATGAGGACAAGCTGAGAAAGCTGAGGCCATTCAGCCTGAAGAAGGTTCCAAGGTGACCTGATATTAGTCTTTCAGTATCTAAAGGGAGGTGACAGGAAAGAAGGGGAAAGACTCTTTAGCAAGGTCTGTGTTCATAGAACAAGGGGAAATGGTTTCAAGCTTAAAGGGATTAGATTTAGGTTGGATATAAGGAAAAAGGTCTTTTACAGTGAAGGCAGTAAGGCACTGGAACAGGTTTCCCAGAAATGTGATTGATGCCCTGTCCCTGGAGACTTTCAAGACAAGGCTGGATAAGGCCCTGGGAAACCTATTTAGCTCTGGATGTCCCTGTTCATTGCAGGGGAGTTGCACTAGATGGTCTACAGAGACCCCTTCTAACTCTAAGGATAATATGATTTCATGATAAGGAAGGCAGGCTTTGAAGTTGTATCTGTACGTTTTACCATGTTTTAGAATCATAGAATCATGAACTGGTTTGGGTTGGAAAGGATCTTTAAAGATCATTTAGTTCTAATCCCCATACCATGATGTCTCGCTCCAATTTATCGGAGGCAGAGGAGGTTCATTGATATATGCACACCCAACACGAGATTAAGAAACACTGGTTCAAATGTTGGCTTGACTGATTTATAATAAATCTTAATCGAAGAGATGGGGAAGGGGAGGCCAGCGACTATTATGGATTAGGGTGATGGGGAAGGGAAAGCAGGCAATAGAAAAGATAGGAAAGAAGAAAGAATTGTGTAAAACAGGGATAGTTGCCGCCAAGATCCAACAGAGTCCAGTTGCACGTTATTCTGATGGTCCGAGGCAAAAGCATAGGGTAGAGCAGCAGCAGCAGTGTGGCCCAGCCTTAGGTAGCAAGAAGGTACAGTGACAGGGAAAGTCCAGGAGGAAGCAGCAAGCCCAGGAGAATCCAACAGCAGGCAGGCATCTTGTCATGAGGAATCTGATGTCAAAAACCACCTTCTTCTTCAACATGCAATCATCATGTAGTGAGGAATCTGTTGTCAGAAACCTATTCTCATGGTTGTTGGTCTTTTTTTTTTTTTTTTTTTTTTTTTTTTAATCCTCCTTCTGCCAGTGTGGCATTCCTGGGTGCTTGGGTAAAAGTCATGCAGTACCCCCTGAGATGGCTATCTCCCTTGAGATAAACCCACACAAAAGAATGCTTCCTGGACATTAAGCCGCAGTTTATCTCTCTCTGATTTCCCCTGGCCTGCCAATCCTCTGGCAAGATTTCTCCATCTTTGACCAGGACTTGCCCAGACTTGACCATCTCTGTTCTCAGCAAGCTTTGAGACAGTGGTGCAAAAGAAAATAATCTCTTACATGCTGGCAGGAATATTCTAATAGGTCAGGCTGTGCAGGGTCCCATCCAACTGCTTTCAATGCTTCCAGGAACGGGGCATTCACAGCTTCTCTGGGCATGCTGTTCCTGTGCCTCACCACTCTCATAAATTATTTCTTTCTAATATCTAATCTAAACCTACTTTATTTAAGTTTACAGCTGTCACACCTTGTCATATCCCTCTCTAATAGATGTTTTCTCACCGTTTTTCCCGGAGGCCCCTTTTAAGTACAGGTAGATTGCTATAACATCTCCCTGGAGCCTTCTTGTCTCTAGGATAACTCAAAACTATCTAAATAACTTCTCTCTGTAGGAGAAGGTACCAGCCCTTCGATCATTTTAGTAGCTGATTTCAGTTGGGATAGAGTTAATTTTCTTTCTAGTAGCTAGTATGGTGCTGTGCTGTGGATTTAGGTTGACAATGTTGTTAATACACCAATGTTAAAAACAGTTCTTGCTGAGCAGTGCTTACACAGAGTCAAGGACTTTTCAGCTTCTTGTGCTGGAGGAAGCAGGATGAGAACAGTTGACCCAAACTGGCCAAAGGGGTATCCCATACCATATGGCGATCAATTTTACTGTGCATCACTTGTTCTGTGTATTTTCTCATTTTCTTATTTTTCCTTCCTTTCCTGCCTGTATCTCAACTCATGAGTTGTAACATTTTTCAGTTTTTCTGATCATTCTGGTGGAGAGAGTGAGTGAAGAACTATGTAGTGCTAATCAGCCTGTCTGGTTGAAGTACAAGAGTGGCAGCTCCAGCAGACCCACCTTTTCTTGTTCTGTCTTGCGTGTCCTGCATCCAGGTCTGGTGATAATACTCCAAGTGGGACCTCATGAGAGCAGAATCACATCCATTGCCCTGCTGGGACCCTTATTTTGATGTAGCCCAAGATAAAATTGGCCTTTAGGGCACCAAACAACAGCTAGGAATCATATCTGAGTGTACTGCAGGCAGTTTATATAATTTCAAGCAATTTAGTCATTCTTCCACATACTTTTGAGGTGTGGCTATCCTTAGACTATGCTTAACAATATTTTCTTTCAGCATCCAAGTTGAATATAAGCGTCTGCTTACAGCTCTGAGTACATATTTTTACAAGTCTTTGTGTTTAGGGTTTTTTGTTTGTTTTCTTGAAAGTAACTTTAGGTTGACTTCCCAGCACTTCAGGTTTTTTTTTTTTTTTTTTTTTTCTCCCATCATTGCTCTAAAGAATCAATCCTATTCTACACTGTTAGAAGAAACCACTTGGTGTTTGGGATTCCACTTTAGGGATAACTTGCTTTATAGAAAGAACTTGGTTTACGTAACTTATGGGAAAACCATTCCTTAATTGGATAAATGTTTAACTTAATGTTGGACAATATAGAATGGAATACTAAGTGCACAGTCAGGTTATGGAGTCCTATTATTTCTGAATGCTAAAACCTAACATCTTTGAGTGACATCCAAATCAAATAGTGCACTGAACATATTGAAATAACAACAGATCTCTTCATAATATTAAATCCTGTCCCTTGATATGTCATGAGTTTTACTGAAGAATATCTAGTCATTTATGATTTATATGTGAGATCCTTTATCTGAAAGCATGTGATATGCTTCTTCTTTTACTTTCTTTCTCTCACAGAATTAGGTAAGAAATAGGATAAAGTAGTGAGAAGTTTTGCTTTCTCTTTTGACTGCCAGGCTTAATCACAGCTTCTACTGTGCTAAAGCAGGCACAACCTCTAATGCTAGTTTTTATGAGAGAGCATTTCTCTCCTGTTGTGTAAGTTATCTCAATATGCAAAAGAATCTTACTGTTTCTCAACTCTAGTCATCACAACACCTGTTCAGCATGGCTGATTTCTGAGTTTGACCTCTGCTTCAAGAGCTGTTTCCCTGTAAAAAAGCTCTTCAGTTTGTAACATACATCTACCCAAAACTCTCAGCCTTGTCTTAAGTCTTCTGAGTGCAATGAATTGTAACTTAGCAAACAGTATAATCCTTTTAATGTTGATCTATAAATGAACATTACAAATCAATAAATCGCCAGATATGGTTTACAGAGCAGGTAGCAAAATGTATGTATATCTACGTATAGGTGTATATATATGTGTGTGAGTATGTGTATATATATATATTCACATTTTTTTTTAATCTGGATCTCTGATGGCAGCTAAATATTGAAGTAGATGCTATACAACGTTGTTAAGACAAAGCATAGTATATGGTGATACATGTAGCTGACAAGTTCATCTCTTCCAGAATGCAGAACAGAGTCATAGAATCTTCTGGGTTGGAAAAGACCTCGAAGTTCATAGACTTCAACCATCAGGTTGTTATGACCTAAGTGCAGAAACAAGTACGTACTTTTTTGAATGTAATGTGTTTGGACTTGGTCCGCTGAGGCTATCCAGATTTATCTTCAAAGTCTTCCCACCTTCAAGTAGATCAGCAGTCCTGCCTAACTTGGTATTACTTGTAAGCTTGCTGAGGGGACATTCAATCTCCTCATCAAGGTTACTGATAAAAAATTTCAAACAAATTGTATTGCTTCAGCAATGAGACCTGGGAATTTCTATTGCTGAATGAAAACCAGCTATACTTAACTCCATTTGCAGTGACCTTTGATCTTAGTCATCCAGTCAGTTCTTCTCCCAGCAAAACATAGACCTGATCAAGCCAGGAGAAGTCAGTTTCTCCAGAAGAATACTGTGGGAGATGATGTCAAAAGATTTACTAAAATCTAGGTAAACAACATCCACAGCCTTCAAAATATCTTGCTCAATTCCTTTTTACAGTTTCAGCAAGGTCCAGAAGGGACAACTGTCCAGAGCTGAGCCATGATCAATGCTGTTTGTGAATCTGGGAGACCAGATTTAGGAAAGGAAAGATCTGCTGTAGAGCAGCAGATGGAAGGAGTGAGAAAATATGAGACAAGCAGACCTGCAAACATCAAGGTGAGTGCAGAAAGAGGGCAGGATGTGCTCCAGGCATGGAGCAGAAGATATCTGCAGCTCAGGAGAGGCCTGTGGAGGACCAAGCTGTCCCCCTGCAGCTCATGGGCACTACACAGAGCAGATCTCCTCAGGCAGCAATGGAGGAGTCCATGGTACTGCAGATCATGTGCCCCAAACGGGAGGTACAGTTCATGGAGGTGCTCTGCAGAAGCAGCCCTGGGACACAGCTGCAGACCGCAGAGAAGAGTCTGAAATGTGGCAGGAGGGCTAGGGGAAATGCCATCTCTGGGGGGCCTGTGTGGAACAGTTCCTGAAGGGTGGGCCCATGGCACAAAGCCTCTGAAACCCTTGGAGGATCATTCTGGGACTCTCCTGTGCTCTGAGGTGATTTTTATTTTCTTTTAGTTCCTCAGTGCTCCAGTCTGTTAGTAATAGGCCATACATTACATCAGTAGTAGTCTCCCTACGTTGTGGCTGTTCTGCCACAGGGTGAGGGTACTTGGTAAGTGTCCTTATCCCAGTTCTTGAAACCCTTCACATTGTATTTTCTCTCCTAGTTCCTTTGAGAAGGTGGAGTGAAGAGCAGTGTGGTGAGGTTTACTTGTCCATCAGGGTGAAGCCCCACAAACTTGCATCCTTTACATGCTGTCTTAGCATGTTCCCCAGGGACATGTCCTGTGAAGAGAAGAGGAAAGATAGGAAGGGGAATGTAGACACCAGAAACAGAATATATCAAAATAAAAAATGGTAGAGCCTGAGGACAAGGCTGAAAGAGGAGAGTCAGAGAACAGGTTACAATACAATGAAAAGGCTGACATTCTGAGTACCTCCTTTGACCCAATCTTTATCAGGAATGGGCCCTCAGGAATCCCAGGTGCCAGAGACTATGATGAAAGGCTGAAACAGGGATGATGTACTATTGGTGGAAGGTGACTAGGCCAGTGAGCAAAGTAAACACAGATAAGACCATAGACACTGAATAGATGCATCCACAAGTGCTGAAGGAGTAAAGAAATGTAATTGCAAATTCACTCTCTATAATTTTTTCCCAATCACTGCAAGAGTCAAAGACTGGAGGGAATTAAATGTCATTTCTATCTTCAGTAAAGACAAGAAGGAGAACCTGGAGAACTACAAACCTGCAAGCCTCACTTCCATCCCTGGAAGTATGATGAAACTGGAAACTGTTTCTGGGCTCAAAAAGGAGAAGAAGACCATTAGGAGCAGTCACTATTAATTCACCAAAGGGAAGTCATTCTTGACCGTACTGATAAGCTTCAAAAATGAAAGGACCAGCCTTGAAAATGAGAGGACAGTAGAAATAAGTCAACAATGAGCAGAAGAAATGTTGCTTGCTAATCTTGTACTTCTGCTTGGTTACGCATCCTCGAAAAATGAGACTAAAGCTGTGTGTCTTACAGTGAAGCATAAATATCTGCTGAATGGCTAACAAGATCAGCTCCAATAGTAACAATGTGAACAACTGTAGAAACATCTCTCTTAGCACATAATTGCATATAACATTGTTTTCATCTCACGTAATTCAGTATAAAATAGTGATACATTTCACAGTTTTTCAATTACATCTGAGTAGCAAAATACAAACTTAGTCTACTGCATAAAAATAATTGTGACACTGAAATCACACAGTTTTGCAAATCAAACTCTGTACAAACAATCCCACTTAAGGGAGAAAGATAACAACAACAACAAAAATGCCAGCCCCCCCCAAAAAGCCCAGTGAAAGCAGTTGAAGCTTACAAGCTTGCTTCTCTCCTAAATCTGCAGCGCTAAGCAAGAAGGTAAGTACCTAAATAAATAAGTGAATACAACAGCAAATTTTAATTTAGCTTTATCAGAGGCTGATAAAGATGAACTTTGTTTGGAAAATGTAGTTTAATACTGCTGGGATGAAAACTGAATGCCACCTTGTGATGTTTGAAACAGATCCCCTTGCACAGGTTTCTATCTAGTACTAACATACACCAATTATTGAAAGTTTTATTCCTGAATGCCACGTGTAGGAATGCAAGAACCCAATATGGCCTAACTGATGTTTGGAGTGGAAGTAAAAGAGCCTTTCTGAAGAGCACATTTATAAATGATTCATATCCTTTTTTTTTTCTCCCCCCCAGCATAACTGTGAAAATATGCTACAATTCAATGCCTTTATTAGATCCTTAGGGAATTTTATCTTCACTTATGCTTGTCACTCAGTCACTTACCTGATTTAATCTCTAATCTTGTGTAGTTTCTTTAAGACTTTAAAAATGAAGTTCTTCTGATGGATAGAATTTACTAAAATTTAAACAACGGTTTTATAACATAATACGTTCATATTTAATTTTCATTCAAGAGTAGCCAGAATCCTTCACTAGATATGCTACTTAAAAAGCAATGCACTTATCTACGGTTACTAGTAGAATCACAGAAAATAAAAATAGAAATATATTGGAGGAGTGGAAAAGGAGAGCTATTGTACTTGCATTCTAAAAAATATTTTTATAAATTTTAAACAAAATTAAATGTAGTCCTGCTAAGTTCAGTGCACCTTCAGCAATATATGCCTTTGTTCATTGTTATGCTGCTTCTTTTGTGAGGACCACAACATTGCTAGATTTTCATCTTACTAGATTTTTAGATTCTGTTTTATGTCTATACACATAAAATGCAATATATATGTTGTGTACATCATATATAAATGATGAAAAGCAAAAAAGTCAAAATTGGTTATTCGCAATTTTTCTATTTTAGAATGACAAATATATTTTAAATATTTTTTTTCTTCTAAAATAGTTCACTTAACCTGGAATTAGGGAACTCCTAGTTGTAACTTGGTTGCCTTGAAAAGTTTTGGCACTTGTTTGTTTCCTTTAGATTTCTTCTAAGCAAATACTAATTTGAGGAAAAACAAAACAAAACAAACAAAAAAAACCACACTTATGACTTTTTTTTAATAGACAAACATGGGTTTATTTTTAGTATTTAAAAATGACTGGAAATGAATGTTTTCAGAAAGTATAGTACTCATCAAAAATAGGTCTAGTTTTTAGTTAAGGATATACATATCAAGTTCCTTATTCCAGACACTCATCATGTTTTGTATTTTAGGGCTTTCCTGATTGAACTTGTCAACCTCTAAAGCTCATAAACATTTGTTTCCTGAACTTGCGTATTTCACATTTATTTATAAAGATTTGAAGAGACTTTTTCTGAAGAACAGAGAATTCACTTTGATTGTTTGGCATTTTGCAGCTCTTTGATCCATCTCCTCTCTTTTAAGAGATCAAGTGCAAATAATGTGATCTGTATTCCTGCAGATGATTATGTATCTAGTTATGTTTTTGTAACAGTGTGTATTAGCAACAGAAAACTTTTCCCATCCATACCCTATTTGTCATTTACTAGAGATCATTAAAATGTGTTTTCTACCTTTCTGTTGGCGTTTTCCTTATGAGAAAATTAAATTGTGGTATTAAGTAGCAAACAAAGATTCTTATCCAACTGTGGGAAGTGTGAGTTTTTAGAATGACCAAGGTGTCATCAAAAGCTCTGATGCAAAGACTCTTGAAGTTAATGAATATTAGAATCAAGATTATTCTAACAGCATAGACTTGCCAACAAACAGCAAATACCTCCAGTAACAGTGCAATGTTGACAGCTCAATATTACACAATACAAACAAACTTTTTTTTTTTTTTTTTTTAAGACCCCGGTCTTCAAAAAAGGCAAGAAGGAAGACCCAGGCAATTATAGGCCAGTTAGCCTCACCTCTGTCCCTGGAAAGGTGATGGAACAGCTAGTGCTGGATGTCATCTCCAGACAACTGGAAGAAGAGGAGGTTATCAGGAGTAGTCAGCACGGGTTCACAAGGGGGAGGTCGTGCTTGACCAACCTGGTAGCCTTCTGTGATGTTGTCTCTGGCTGGGTGGATAGGGGGAGAGCAGTGGATGTAGTCTACCTTGATTTCAGCAAGGCATTTGATGCTGTCTCCTATGACATCCTTATAACAAAGCTGAGGAAGTGTGGGATAGATGAGTGGACAGTGAGGTGGGTTGAGAACTGGCTGACTGGCAGAGCACAGAGGGTTGTTGTTGGTGGTGCAGAGTCTGGTTGGAGGCCTGTAACCAGCGGTGTTCCTCAGGGGTCGGTGCTGGGTCTGGTCTTGTTCAACATCTTCATCAATGACCTTGATGAGGGGATAATGGCCACCCTCAGCAAGTTTGCTGATGATACGAAGTTGGGAGGATTGGATGACACGCCTGAAGGCTGTGTTGCCATTCAGCAAGACCTGGACAGGCTGGAGAGCTGGGCAGAAAAAAACCGGGTGAGGTTTAACAAAAGCAAGTGTAGAGTCTTGCATCTGGGGAGGAATAATTGCATGCACTGGTACAGGTTGGGGGATGACCTGCTGGAGGGGAGCTCTGCAGAGAGGGACCTGGGTGTCCTGGTGGATGACAGGTTGGCCATGAGCCAGCAGTGTGCCCTTGTGGCCAAAAAGGCCAATGGCATCCTGGGGTGCATTAAAAAGAGTGTGGCCAGCAGGTCGAGGGAGGTGATCCTCCCCCTCTACTCCGCCCTGGTAAGACCTCATCTGGAGTACTGCGTCCAGTTCTGGGCTCCCCAGTACAAAAAAGACAAGGATCTCTTGGAAAGAGTCCAGTGGAAGGCCACGAAGATGATGAAGGGCCTGGAGCATCTCTCCTATGAGGAAAGGCTGAGTGAACTGGGTCTGTTCTGCCTTGAGAAAAGGAGACTGAGAGGGGACCTGATCCAGGTCTATAAATATCTAAGGTGTGGGGGGCAGAATGGCGAGGCCAGACTGTTTTCAGTGGTGAATGGAGACAGGACAAGGGGAAACGGCTGGAAACTGCAGCATAGGAAGTTCCGCACAAACATGCGCAAGAACTTCTTTACAGTGAGGGTGACGGAGCACTGGAACAGGCTGCCCAGGGAGGTGGTGGAGTCTCCTTCTCTGGAGATGTTCAAGACCTGCCTGGATGCTTACCTGTGTGACCTGCTGTAGGGAACCTGCTTTGGCAGGGGGGTTGGACTCGATGATCTCTGGAGGTCCCTTCCAATCCCTACAATTCTGTGATTCTGTGATTTTCCAGTCGAACCCCACATATTTCAATATGATATGCATTTTCTTCTGGAGTTGTAATATAATTATTAAAATCACTTTTTCTAATGTCCACAGATAATGGAGATATGTTAGCCAGTTTACTATTTCCTTCATGGTCTTCAAGCCAGGTTAATCTTAAGACACCAGTGCTGAACAAAGAAAAAAGGGATTACCTTCCTCAGCTTACTACCAGCACTCTACCTAACAAAGCTCAGTAGACTGTTCAAACTCTTTTCCATGAAGTTCCACTGATAGCTTATAGGCATCATGGTGGATGCAGGACCTCAGGGTTTTCACTTTTCAGTAAATGAAAGCTGCTTTCCATTAAGTTCATCTCCTGCATGTGGTGGTTTTATGATTTTTGGTTATCAATATTCCACATCATAACATCATGTAGTGGGCTGGGAATTAAAGAGTTAAAGCTCCAGTTCAGTAGATCGTAGATAGTTCCAGGTACCTGATTCTCAAAAGAGAAGAACTACATACTATATGCCCCATAGGATCTTGTGTTATTCTGTTTCTATTTTCCTTTCAGAAGGAAAGATAAAACTGTTTGCAAATCAAGAGAGCCTCTGGTTTTTGGACACTCTCTCATTTTTTCTTCTCCCCGAGAAGGACTTGGCATTTCTCTTTGAATTTCATGAGATGGCTGTTGGTACATTTCTCCAGCCTGCTGATTTTCCTTTGAATGGCAACAAACCCATCAGCTATATCAACCCCTGCTCTGAGTTTTGTATTGTCTGTAAACTTGCTAAGGTTACAGTTAATCCTGTAACTGAAGTCACTAATGAAGATACTAAATAATGCTGAATCCAGTACTGGTGCCTTGGACCCTTCACTAGTGATTCGTGTCCAGTAGACTTGATGCTACTTATCATTATCCTCTAAGCCTAGTGGTTTGGGTAGCATTCAGTCCATCTCTTTGTCCATTTTTGTATTGTTAAATCACTTGTGATCTCCTAGCTAGAATCGTTTAACTCTGGTAATGCTTAGGGACAACTGTGCAGTTGCTAGGAACTGCTCTTTGCTTATGGGAATAGAGTTCAGTTGGACTTAATTTGTGTGGTGAAAATAAAAACAAAATGGAAGGAAGATAAATGTGGATCAGAAATGTTAAAATTATTTATTTTTGGTCCTTTGCAAAGATGCTACTGTCAAGATTTAAAAATTGTTGTCAGTTACTTAGACTGTAAGTTTTTAAGGTCATCTCAGGAAGATTTTCCAGAGGGGAAAAAAAAAAAAACACTGATAAACACTGCTTTCTGACTTTTCTTCTTTTG